GGTATTCTCAAAGCACTGGTTTGCACTTAATCACTGCATGGGAATACAAAACAGTACAACTGAACAGAAAAAAAGAAGCAATCGCTACTTTTTCAGATCTTTTTATTCTATGACATTAACAAAGTAATGAAGAATACATCAAAGACTAAGTTTTATGACAAGCCCTGGTTGTCTTGCCAAAATCTTCTTTTCTTTTACTCGGGTACTGTAAAGAGAAAGACATATGGATATCACAAGCGCAATTAAAAAGTGGAGCGTATATAAAATGGCGCTTTTGAAGACAAGTTGCCTCCAATTTGTGTTCAGTCAGGTGCTTAGATAAAAGTGGTCATTCTGGGAATTTGGTCTTTTGTAGAAATAAATTTTGCTCTAAGGACCATGAACATTTTTTATAAGGTGAAAAAACAAAGATCGATTGAAAATACAAAACTAACGAGACAAAAGCAATAACAGGACCTATCAGTCGCTTTAATTAGGCGGCAGTTTATTCTATGAATGTAAAAATTTCTAATTGTGTTTGGCTGAAAACTAATTTTTAATTTGGGATGAAGTGCAAATTAACACGCGCTCGTACGCGTTTTTCTCAGTCGTATAATAAATGAGTATTCTTATAAAGGCTCGAAAAATTAAGGATTTACACTATATATACTCGTGATATTTCAAAAATGTTTTAAAAATTGCACTCGCGCACGCCCAAAAGCTCATGCCGTTTTGAGGCAATTTTCAAATATCAAGCGAAGTGTAAATCCTTACTTGCGCTCGCATTCGTGCGATTACCTTTACAGAGTGTAATTAATGAGCAGTATTTTGTCGGTTATTTCATCATCATTACTTACATTAATATTTAGATGCATAGTCGATCATAGATTGTCGGATCAAAAACCGTCAGCACAGAAAGTATAGGATTATAATTAGAAGAGATACTACGTCAATAGAATTTTTATAGAGAAACTGCAGAGGAGCGACCCGTTTCCCCCGGGGGGGATCCCATATGGAAAGGACGGGGATGCACGTCGGAAATTTTAAAAAGAACCCCTTAGCAGTACCAAGGTCCTGTTTTGTGGGCGTGACTTGAATTTGTTTCAACCCCTAAGAGGTACCAATTCTCAAACAACAAATTGAATGACGTGAAGTATATATGAAATAATTCATATTTGAACTGCGGTTGTAGACGAAAGTGAAGAATGATCATCGCAGTAAATTTTCCAATTTGAGCAATT